TTTGCTTGATTTGTAGATAGTATCACATATGTTGAAATCATAAATCTGATGAATGATGGCCTTTTCTTCAAGACAATAAGAAGTTCTACAAGGATCACTAACTTTATATGTGCGGTGTTCATCGAATTTTTAATTTGAATTCCTGCAGATTTCTTCTCATCATAATGGGGCATTCTTATTACTTGCTTTATTGGACCTTTAATTGTCACCCATTTGTGTTGAACCTACTTTTCAGATAGTCCTTGATCTTATGGCATATTGTTGGGTTCTGGATCATGTGTACTGGATATGGGACTAGGGGATGTGATTTCAATTGAATGACAGACTTCTACTTTTATCAAGCCTTGAATGTGTTAAGTGGATTTATTCTTGGATCATGGCCTATCTTTATTGTTGGACCCTAGCACCTGAAGAAAAATGCATTACGTGCTATGCAACTTTGTCAAAAGAGAAGTCTTTGTTGACGTATGAATGGAGCAATAACCTATGCATATCTTACATGGATTTATGGAAAGTATTTGTTTTCTGTTTTCTCAAAATTCTGTCTTTGCCTGTTGCAGCATGCAGAGCAAAGATATTCTCCAGCACAGGATGCTGTTATTCGAGTGCATTCTAGAATTGCCGAGATTGGATTTGAACCTGGTGCTGCAATTGTTGCTCGTCTTCTCGTACATTCCCAACAGATTGGTTGTTTGTTGGGTAAAGGAGGTCACATTGTGACCGAAATGAGAAGAGCTACTGGTGCTAGTATAAGGGTATTTTCAAAAGAACAACTCACAAAGTGTGTTGGATCTCAGAATGATGAAGTTGTGCAGGTAATTGACAATCATAGACATTAATTTTCTGTTCTACTAGCTGTTATTTGATTAACATTAATGATGTTTTCTTTTTCCTCAGACAGCTTGTTTACCCTACCGAAGCTTTTAACTTCACTGAGTTGCTGGTACTGTTGAGAAATTGAAACTGATCTAGACTTGTAGCTTTTTTAAATTTTCTTCATGTTTTGGCAAGAAAAAGACTCTTTCCATGTCACATACTCTTTATTTGAGAGCAGGTAGCTTTTAACCTGGTCGACAGCAGCCTTGCAAACATGTAAGGCAATGGCAAATATATGAACATTGTGCTTCAATACTTATAAGGAACTAGAGCTGCATAGGTTCATTGTGGAAGATGTGTAACATTTCAAGTGGATTAATTATCCTTCCTGCATCCATGTTGAACCTTGTTTTACTACGAACTACAAAGACAACAAGAATTTAGTTACTGAAAATACTAGTACGCTCTCTTGCTCAGGGTTCAATTTCTTATCATCACAGGATAACTTTTATCATGATGCAAATTCATTTGAAACTCAACTGGCTTCATACTGACTGGTTGAAGAGTCTTTATGGATTAAGTGCAAGGTTCTTCTCTGGAATGGGACCACATGCAAACTGGGGGTCAGCTCCTAAGTGTGTTAATATATGCATATGGTATGACTGTATGAGCTTGTGACCAAAGAATATAATTTGAGTGATTGTGGTGAAAGATACAACTCCATGGGGTGACTTTCGGGGAGTTCAGATATTATCATTCTTTGGCAGGAAAGGAACAAATTTCTGAATTTGCATTTAACCTTTTGAAAGCTTTCGGATGTATCTTGTCATAAATTTGTTAAACGATTTACAATTTTATTCTGCTGTTCCCTACTTAACCCATTTGCACAAAGAAGATGAATTTCATTATTGCTTTTGCACTAGCCTATTACACTTATCTTTCACACTGTACTTTCTTAAGTTTTATGTTCTCTGTTTGATGTTTTATATAAATCTCTAGTATCACATGGTTCTTGCAATGCTAGTTTACGGGTTTGCATTGATTATTCTTTTTCCTTTTTAGCAAATGCTTCCTTTTCCTTTGGACTATTCTTTTTCCTTTTTTTAATATTTCTTCCTTTTGACTATTGTTGAGTCAACAATGTTGTGAGAGATATTTTCTCAGTAATTATTAGCCATGCACTGCACCCTTTATGTAACAGATCCTATACCAAGTGAATTTCAGCTGTTTGATGATCTTTACTGTCAGCATTTCAAAATGAAAATGGGTTGGAACTCAAAAATTTGCGAGATATCCTGTCATTCCCTCTCCCCCAACCCCCACGTCCCCCTCTCCCAAAAAATGGATACGAATAAAAACCTTCTTTTGTGGTTTTTGTTGGATGCTACATACCATTTTGCTTAAAAAAAAAAATCGAATTGAGTTGTGAAGTCTGTTTTGAGTTTAGTTCTAGAATCTAGATGTGTCACTTTTTATCAATGCATTCCTATTGTTGATTCCTCTTTACTAACTTTTGGAGAGCTGCGTTTTCTTTTAGATATTTTAGGAGGCTCTCAATGAATATTTAAAGTTTGGTGCTTTTTGGCAGGTTATCGGTAGTTTGCAATCAGTGCAGGATGCATTGTTTCATATTACGGGCAGGCTTCGGGAGTCTATATTCCCAATGAAACCTCCATTTCCAGGCATTAATCCCCCTCCCTACTTACCTCCTTTTCCAGAAATGCCACCTCCATCATTCAGGCCAAGACATAACCCTGCCTCTCCAGGTCCCTATCCTTCTCCAGGTGAATCGTTTCATGGCATTGACCGTTCTGTTGTTCCTTCCCAACCACTTGATCACCAACCACCATTTTCGCATGGCATGGATCATGTGGGTCCATCTAACTTAGACAGAGTCCCATATCCCTATGGTGGTGAGAGACCTGGACATGGTCCCATGTTTGACAGGCCATCATCTCCAGGATCATGGACTCCTCAGGTTGGTGGTGTGGCTTTTGAATGTATTGTTCTGTTCAAAACTTTTATGGAATTGGTTCTAGGGACTAACCTACTTGATGATGTCTCTTTCATAGCCATGATATATTTACTTTATCCTTTTTCCTTTAATATCTACATTACTATAATGTAATTGTCGTCATCATTTCCTTGTTGGATGTTTTTTCAGGCTGCTAGCTCTGGGAACCCTAGGGGAATCTCTGATGTTGGTTCTGGCTTTGCTGCAAGAAATGGACCTCCTGGAAGGTGATACCTTTCTTCCATAGATTATTACTATAATTTTTGCTCATATCATTCTGTCAACTTGATATGTTGGGGTTTATAGTTCTAAATAAGTGAATTAGACAAAGGATGGGAAGAGAGGAGCAGATGATATAGAGAAAATCAAGGAGAAGCAGGGAAGCAACAGAGGAACCTAGGGGAGAAATAGAAGAAATAGGGAGAGAAAATCATAAAGAAACAAGGGGAAAGGAAGTAGGGATAATACATATAAATCCAATACTCAACGTCTCAATATCTCCATCATCAAAAGATAAAAACCAGAGATAGTATAGGACTTAGGCTACTTACTAAACTCCCACACCAATATGAAATATCTAATATAATATTACATGCCCTATTACCTAAACACTAAAAGTACAATTAAAACCATAGACATATAAACTAAGAAAATAAATACCTATATAGTTTTAATCTTTCTATGATATGTTTCTCTCCTGTATCTGTTACCCATATTGGAGAAAAGTCAACTTCGAATCATAAGTGTTGAAGCAGCAAAAACTTCTAGTGAAGTTTTCGAACAACTCTTCCAGCAACATTTCTCCTTTGTAGCAGCAACATTGTCAGCTTTTCTTTCTTTTTATTTTTTTATTTTTTTATTTTTATCATATCATCCATAAAAACATTAGTAATTAAGTCAATGGAAAGTTATGTAGCACAATGTCGAACTCCTCATTTACTTGGATGTCCATGAATTGCGCTTTGTATCTTCAGACAGCTGATGTCCATCAATTTACACAACCTGAATTCTTACTTAACAGAAGTTGGTTGCTGTATTTCGTGTTCTACAAGTGACTAATTATGTGTAACTGATTCATCAGCTGATATCTCCTATTTCTCAATTTCTAATTCTTCAATGTATTTCTCGACTTGTCATAAACAACTATAGTTTCACCTTGACCCTATTCTAAGATTTGATTGGAAGAACAACATTGAGACAAGATTGAAGAAGTGACATTTTCCTGCATTTGCTTAGTTCTTCATGTACATAGTGCATTATGCATCAAATAATTTTTCAAATTCACATATGCTACTTCTGGGATCATGGTATTTAAAAAATGCAAAGAGATCTTTGGTCTTGGATTTGTGGGAGAAAACCTTAACTAGATTTAGAAGGTGGATGGTTAAAAAATGTTAACTATTGAAGTTTATTTTGTCCATTTCTTGAGCGTGTAACTTATGGGCCTATCACTTATGCAATTGTGTTTTGGGCAGTGGAAATCAAGCACCCGTTTTGACTAGCACAAAGGTTGAGATCGTGATTCCTCAAATATACTTGTGCCATGTTTATGGGGAGGGTAATGGTAACCTGGGCCACATCAGGCAGGTGAGTGGTGATTATGTAGATTGCAATTGTCTAATTCTCATGCAATGCTTCTTTTCACCTTGGTTTACCTTGTCTTAGATCTCTGGGGCAAATTTGGTTATTCATGACCCAAAACCTGGGGCTGCTGAGGGTTTAGTGGTAGTCTCTGGAACATCAGATCAATTGCGCACTGCACAGAGCCTTATTCAAGCCTTTATTCTCTGTGGACAAACAGCAGCTTGACTATCTGTTCTCGTATGTTGTAAATGTCTCTTCAAGGGTATCTGTTTTCTTGTTTCCTTTTTGGGATAGGTTTCTTTGCTAGAGGTTGCTTGTCCATTCATAAATGAAATGGGAGAAACATTTTTTTTGCATTGAGGGTTAAAATTAGGTTTCTCGAGATGTAAGTTTCAGTGATAAAGATCAATTATTGACTGAGTGGAAAATTCTAAATTTTGGTTTTGAACAGGCCCCTAGCAGGATCTGCTTGGAGGTCGGAATTTGCTTATCTGCAAACCTTGCTTATATAATGATTATGTACATTTCCAAACTACTGTTGCTAATTCTGGCCATATGCTCCTTTCAATCTTCAATCGCAGTTTCAATGGCTTTAACCCTTCACACCTCTCCCTCTATGGCTCTGCAACCTTGGAATCAGGTGTTCTTTTCTCCATAGGAAGAGCAGTCTACCCTGCGTGTGAAAGATACCCCCAATGTCTTTTCAACTCGTATCTTCTACCTTTTACAGCCCGTTTCTTTGTCCATCTCCCCAGACAAAAATAATCTGCCCGCGCACGGCCTAGACTTCATCTTTGTAACTTGTACAGGCATTCAATATCTTGGCTTCTTGAATCGAAGCAAGGATGGAAATCTCAACAACCATGCTTTTGGTATTGAATTTGATGAATTCAATGATGATATCAACAACGACAATGATGTAGCCGTTGACATGAATTCTGTCACTTCTCTGGTATCTGAGAGAGACTGACATTGGACTGATAGAAGTAGAGAGAAAACGCTCAACAAGACTTAAATGTACAAGAGGTGTTTCCAGGGGTTGAGAATGAATAATGGAGCAAAGCAGAGAGTATGGAATGATTATATCAAGTCTCGGCTTAGCGTGACAATGGCTCCTGCAAGCAAGGAAAAGCCCCGAAAACCACTGATCAATGTTGCTCCTCATCTCTCTCATGTTCTGCTTCAAGAAATGTACGTTGGCTTCAAGTTTCTCCACAATAGAATGCCCCTCCTGCGTGGACTATCTTAAATCTTTGTCATCATTTCTATTTTGTGAACAAACTCTTCTTGTGATATTATTTTCGTCTTTAATATGTAGATTGAAATTTTAGATTTGCCTGTAATTATGCCAGTGTAATGCTTTGAGTGGGTTTTTTATTTTTCATTTTAAGAACAAAAAAGGAACAAACATTAGTCTACAAAATGTGGCAAGCTACCATGAAAGATTACAAGATATGAGATCAACTTGGGTTGGTTTAAACCGGTGAGACAACTTCCTTCCTAGACGCTCAGTTCCTGCAAGACTTTCAGAGCATAGAGCAAGGTGCCTGCAAATCTTCTGATAAATAATCCTTTTAATTTCAACCTATATATTAACCAATCCAAGTGCTAATACTACAGCTGTTATATCCAAAGGTTCATACTAAAAGGATGGAATCAACAGTCAAAATACCACTCTTAGACATCTCCGAGCCTGTTAACTGGACAGAGCTATCGAGAATATTAAAAGGATGTGGCCAAAATAGGGTTGCTCGAATCATTCAGAAATTTCAAAGCTCAGAACAGGTTGCATGTATGCAAAGCTTCAGATGATTAGAGAGGACTTAATCAAACTGAAGGAGCACCAAGCCGCTTGAAAGCAGATGTCAAAAGGACAAGAATATAACCAGGCAAAATAATATGGTTTCAACTGGAGACAGCAGCCCTTTTGTTTCAATGCTATCAAGGCAACACTTACAAGTTTCAAAATGTTCAGAGCTCCCACCTACTGCAAGAAGTCTTGAAGATGGCTAGATGGCTGCAACCAATTTGACTCACCTTGAATGGCCCTAGTCCTCAGTTATGTTGTTTGTTTTTTCATTTCATTTCTAGACATTTTGGTGTGTGTGTGAAATGAAAAAAAGAATTCAATATTTATTCTCTCCACCTACTCTAACCACAATGAAACATGAATGCAAAAGCATGTTGCCCACAGTAAAACATGAAACAAAAAGCATGCTGCCCGCAATAAAACATAAATCCAAAAGCATGTTGCCCCCCAGTGTCGTACAAAACTTCTCACTCCAGAAAGCAAATTGTCACTGGACTCATAAGAAGTCAATTACACAAAATACTTATTATATTCAAACCAAGTACATCAATAGGAGGGACAGATGGCATTGACCGTCTAGCCCTAATTTACCAAGGTCTTCAGAAGGCCTGGGGTCTGTTCAAGGGTGACAACAGAGACCCCATGCAGAATGTCAATTTAAATTCAATTGCATGAATTTCACATCAAAATACAATTCCTTATGAACTCATCTAAATGAGATAAGATGGGCACTCTCCTCTTACTTTGATCCTATTAAATTTCTCAACATTTCAACTCAAGCCAAAATGGCCATCATGATGAGCCACTAACATTTTCCGCTATCCTAACCACCTGGTCAGCCTCAAAATTTACATTCTGCAGATGACACATATAAAAAGTGAAAATGCTTAAGAAATCTATTACAGAAAATCATAGAATGCTCAAGGAAAAAGAATATTTCTAATAAGGAAAACCATCGCTAGGTTCACTCACCTCCCCATTCTTGCTTAAGGAAGAACTGTGACCAGTCTGAGGTGCTGCCTTAGAGAGGTCCCTTAGAGTTCCCTAAGGTTCATAGGTTTACAGAACCACAAAAGTTTTAAAGGGGGAAAAACAAAAGAAAAGAAATGAACAAACATTTACAATAAGCCCATAAAAGAGTTTGAAACAGAGATGTAATAGTGCAATATACGAACTTAATTGACACAAACGAAACCCAAACGAAATCTATGAAAACAGAGATTTTGACATAAGGCATAGAAAATTCCCCTTATTTCTATTCACATGCACAAAGCGGGTCAAGGTGAACAGTTATGCATTCGCTCTGAAGGGCATGAAAATATCAGATTGTTTCAAGATCACACAGCATAGAGAAAGCATCATGCTTTTCAAAAAAAACGAGACAGTATCACAGGCACTATCAGTGATGAGATTCACAAAGGAATAAGAACCCAGGAATAAATCTTTCTTGACAATTCGAATAATTTATCTTCACTTCACAAACAATAATTTTACCAGCTCAGCCTACCCCCACCACAATATCATGCACAACCAATGAATTCACCAAGTAAAACCGTAAGAGATATGGCTCCAGGAATTGCTCCTAGACATAATCAAAAAGCGTCCTACTTTCCTTATGGATAACCACAGGAGTGCTGCCAAAAATATATAGCATTGGTTCCTGCCTTAATCATGATCTATAAACCTGAAATCCTCATAGCTCAAGGGTTTTATGCTCTACTTTCAAAAACGTTAGATATTCATTTTGGCATTTAATTTACTGAAACTTTCCAAAGCTACTTTTAGATGAGTCCTTGCCTCTAGCTATCTCATTGAAGCAAAAGAAAATAGCAGGTCTAGGCACACTACAAACAAATTGGAGGCATCTGCTACACTATGATTTCTGGCTAACAAAAAATCCTTATATGCATTGCAACAATGATCACTATCATATTACTAAACATGCAAAATTTCCCATCCAGCTGTAACAATCTAAAGGTGTCAAATCATTCCATTTATATACCTTTCTAGTAGACTCTTGATATGGAACTATACTTAAAATAACAAATTCTAAACAATGGGTAAAACCACAATATAAATACAACCAAGCATTCACCTTATTAGCCCACATAAGTCCACAAGCATTGCAAAGGGTCCTTGGCCCTTCAGGTCCACGTCGCATCATTGGTGTAGATTTCTCACTGATGCCACAATGTCGACAACTATCAAATGCACAAGGGCATTATAAACAGAAATTTCATAGTTGAGCAGGGTAAGGAAATGTAAAAAACTAAGAAATTATAATACTACAACATGGATTGCATTGCAGCACATGCATATATAGATGTAGAACACCATGCAGAAGCTAATTTGGAACCTTATCCCATTCCATTAACACTTTTTAAGCTTATTTAACAGAAAATAGAAAAAGGCAGTGTAGGTATTTTGGCCATTATTGAATGGTGATTACCAATCACTTGGGACCAATTCTTTGCCGAGAGGATATTGGTCAAATTTCCGATTACTGTGTGGAGCTAACATTTGAGTATAGTTCTCAACTGAACCCTTACAAGTTTAAGGCTTTCTCCTTCTCCCTTTTCCTCATTCCCAAATATTCTCAATTCTCTTTTCCATGATTAGCTTTTCTGTGTATCAGAATATGATCTACTTGTTCATTAATTTTACCATTAAAAGTATCCATTGTTAGGTAAAATTAATTATGTTGACTTACACAATCTCTTGGTTTTGTGATCCATTACCATCTGCACCCCAGCTCTGGTTTGAGCCCCAGCTTGAGGCGGCTGATACAGAATCATCAGTATTAGGCTTCGAAGATGTAAACTGACCTTTATTTCTTTGCATCCTGCAAAGGAAAAAACAAACATAATCAATAGCAAAGCCAGGAACATGTCAATAGGATAAAAGAATTCCATTAATCAGACTGGCCCCATACCACAAAGAAACAAAACAAACATAAGTCAAATGAAGGTGACAAACTGATCGATTATACAAAGTGTAACTTCAAGACAATTGAGACCTTTTAACATGTGCACAAGCTTCAGTTAAGCATATATCATTAACATGAAATTGACCACTATTATACAATGCCTTCCACATTCTGCAGAATACACCGTTTGACTAAAAAATTGAAGTTCTAATTTGCAGATTAAATTTGTTAGTTTGACCCGTTTCATGACCAAAAATGGCTTCAGTAGTTACAAGAACAGTTGTTGATGTTGTAATAAGAAAAAGTGCAACACCCTGGCTCACCATCAACAGGATGTCATGAATTTCACCATGGAAGTCTATAGATAAATCCTTCAACCATATAGATGCCTTATGTGCATCTGAAGTTGGTAGTATATATATTCATTTGGGGGATGTCTCTCAAGCTCATTCAAGAGGCATTTTGCTGCACCAAGAATCAATTAAGATATCTAAGCAAAAGGTTCATAATGTTCATAATTCAGCAACAAACAGCTTTCCAATTCTTTAGTGAGCCCCAAACAAGGCTTTATTAGTAGATTTCCTAAATTACTCAAGATTATCTTCTCAAAATCTCAAAAGTTGTGCAAACTTTGCAATAGTATATCGAGGCTTCACTTTGCTAGAGAAACCTTTTTCTACCAACTAGATTATTTTTCCAGGTTTCATCAACTGTGTCCATATTGCCCGACAATATTCCATTTTTATATTAAAAAAAAATTTAAAATTAAAGCATAAACTTAATATTTTAAGATCATAACTCTTATCAAAAGGTAATGTCAAAGAGTGCAACATGCTACCAACTATATACTATGGCCAAGCCATCAACATTGGCATCTCTTCCATCAACAAACTGACACTAAGAGCTCTTTTTGATGGTCTAAACCATAGTTGCCAGTACCACTCCCTGCTGTAACTGCATCCGTATCCCTAATCTGGATCCTTAAAATTGGGGATACAGATTTTCAAAACAAAATGAAACTCAACATCAAAGCAAAAAGGGAAGAAAAGGGGAGATGGTTAAAGAGATAACAAGAGGAAGCACAAATTCCAGAATTTCAAAAAGAAAGAGAAGACGAGAGGAAGAGAGAGGCAGAAAGATGGAGGAGCACAAAGAGAGGGCAGTAAAAAATATTTAAAATTAGAGATGAGAAATAAAAAAAGGAAAGAGAGAGAGCTGGGGATTTTTCAAGGCTTTTGGGCCACCTAAGGCTGATTAGATTTTCAATGTTATCATGCTTTTAAACCTAATACCCATTTTTAAAACATAAAAAGCCCATTTATGTTTTATTAATTAATATTTAAGAAGCCTATTTACAAGTTTAGAGAAAAAAAAAGCCCATTACATTTTCTTTAGAAATAATCACTTATATACTTCAACATCTTTATTAAATTAAAATGAATACTTATCATCAACCAAATCAGACTATATGTGACTCACTTGAGAACAATTTTACAATGCACCACGACCCGAAATAATTTACCAACTAAACCTACCCTTCTCACACCACAAATTAGCTAAATATATATTCCATTTCCGTTCACATACCAAGAACAAAGACATATCATGTTCCTAGTAATTATGGACTCTAAAAATCCATAACTCTTTCTGATAGTCAAAGTAAATTTCTTACTATCAGGAATAATTCAGATTAATTATAATAAGCAAATTAAATGGCAAATGAGTGCCACGTGCTAACCAATAGTATAGACACTTTGACACCAAGACCAATGTCAAGTAGTAAGAATCCACCAATTGAAACCTTGCAGCATAAGTGCCAAGTAGCTAAATATTATTCTCTTGGTAGGCTGATCTCTATAGGTTATAAATAACCTTAATTAGTTTGGCTCAGAGTTACCAAGAACGTGGTACAGCTTAGTTTGGGATTCGAGAATGGCAACAGAGTATACCATTTAGCAAATTTGTGGTATGAGGGAGGTAAGTTTAGTTGGTATGCCATTTCAAGTCATCTTACACTATAAAATAGTTCTCAAGTTGCCTAGAGTTAGATTTGGTTGATTAAAAGTGATTATAAATAGTAATTTTAATATAACAAAGATGTTGGTCTACAAAAGTGACTTTTCCTGTAATTTCTTTTTCTCTTATATGGTAAGTGAGCATTTATAATAAATTTATACAGGTGGAACCAAAGAAGAAAGAAGTAGTGGAGACCTGGCCGAGGTTGACTTCGGTGACAGAAATAAATAGTTTCTTGCTTTAATGAAAACTCTCATGCTAATCTACACAATTGCCCAATTATTAACCTTTCTTTATTTTTCCCAAGCCTTCTTTTTTTTCTTCATTCTTCCAGATACTTCTATTCCTCTTCTTCATTCTTCCCAAACCCTATTTCTTCTTCTTCATTCAGCTACGGTTTTAACTTAATTTCTTCATCTCCAAAAACTCAATCAAGGTAAAAAAAACATTAATTTAACAATGTTGAGTTCATGGGTTGTACTTTTACAACTAATTTTGATTCCAACCCTTCTTTCTTCTCCTTCATTCAGCTAGGGAATTCACTCAATTTCTTTATCTCCAAAGCTCACCAAGGTAACAAACATTAGTTTTAGGATATTGAGTTCATGGGTTGTCATCCTAGAGCTGATTTTTATGTTGTTTTAATGTTAGTATGAAATTTTAGTTAAGCTTTGCCTTATATTTTCAATAAATGGGAACATTACTATCTTTCTCTTTTGAATGTACTTTACTTCCACTTGTTCTCTCTTTAATCTTCTCCCCTTTTCTTCCCTTTTGTTTTGAAGTTTGATGTTAGTTCGATCAAATCACATACTAAGGAATCTCGGACTGCAAAAGTACTGCTATTTGGACTGCATGATCCAATCCATGATTCCAAAAGCAACGGTCTTGGTAACTATTGATCGATTAATAGTATACATAGACAAAATTAGTCCATTTCCAACACACTAGTTTTAGCTACCCACTTGTCTAGCCACTCAAAAAATTCCCTTCCATTAATCGTTGCCTCTATCATTCTCATATTTTAGACTATTAAAGAAAAGTTTAAGCAAATATTAAGCTAGTCAGATTTTGGACGGTGCACTTGATCTCTTTACTTCATGAGCAAAGTTACGAAGGTCATTGTTGAGTCCTGAGAAAAGATCTATGTAGCCTTGCATGCACCTGAGATATTATCTAAAGGAACAAAATTGGTTTTAGAGATAGTGGACATATCATGCCTCAACTTTAAAGATAAGTCTTCTACTAAATATTATAATTATTCTACTTAGCTTAATTATATAATTAGTACTACATGATTGATGGACTGTATGTGCTATTGAAGACTTATCTTTCAGGTTGAGCCATGGTGGAAAAACTATCTTTAAAATTGATACCACCCCCTCTAGGTAATGTCTCAAGTATAAGCAAGGCTCAATGGCATCCTCAATTCAACAACTAATCGTTGCCATAATCTTGCACATGAACTTTAGGGACTGAGCTAGTGGTCCAAGATCTCACTAACTAAGCGTTATAATTATAGTACAGCATATGATAAGATTTTATGCCTAATTTGAATAAAAGGCGCTAAGTTGGGTGATGCTCTCATTTTTTAACCGAGCCATTCTGAGGCTATTATAGCCCAATAAACATGAGAAAAGCTGTCACTTAGTTGCCAATTTAGTTGATAATTGTTTGCCAAGTGCCATTTGGCGGCTACATAAGTTGCTAGTTGCTACTAATTGACATAGTTTGATGCAAGGTTTAGGTGGAAAAGTATTATGCAAGCCACCCATTAACAAGTTGCACTCTATCTTTCCATATTATATACATTTAGTTATTAATTTATTAAACAGTTTGACTTACCACTCGATCCCCATATAATTCAAATTAATGAGCTGGTGAACAAAAATGAAATGCACAAGGATCAGCGTTTTGTGGACTTGAACTGCCACTTAATTACATAAGATAGAATTCACAAGAGCCTAGTGACATAAATTTCTTAACCACTCTCCCTATGTTGAAAATATTATGGTGAAAACACTGCACACTAAAATAACATGAGTTTGAGATTTATACTTTAGATGAGCTTCAAAGCCAAAATCTATTGGCATCTAAGTTGTAGACAAACTTGATGAAACTCATCTATACAAGTGTAATGGTGGGGCAGACCTTATTAAAAACTTGGGAAAAATTTCCTTACAGCACTCATGAAATCTCAAAGCAGTGCAAGGCCTTATTACACATACAGATGCTCTTTGAGTGAGGAGCACATAATTATATTCATAAAACAAATAGTAAGAAATGAAACTAAAAGAGGTAATTAAAAAATTGGAATGCCTAAAACATTTTATTGTAGTCTTTCAAGTCTACAATAACTCCTATAGTTACAAGCTAAATGACCCTATTCTCTCAAATGGAAACCTAATGCATGCAGAATAACTATTGAAAAAAGAAAAAAGGGAAAAAGCAGATGTCTATCTAAGGAAACCGCAATCTGATTATTCATGTCAAATTACTTGAATAGGAACAGAAATTAGATTGGCTTTATAAATGTCAAAGTCCAACATGCAATATGTTCAATTTCCACTGAATTAATGTCTACAAATTACTACTCCCCATTTTCACCCTTTAGATGAGGCAAGATATATATATATATATATATAACCATAAATTAGTTTACATAAAAAAAAATGTCAAATAAGTTCAAGGTAGATCATACCTTAGTGCTACCTCTTTACGGACAGTATAGCGAATTTTCTTGTCAAAATTCCGCTCTTTTCGCTTTTCACGAAATCTAAGCAGTGAGGCCAATCTCTGTGGGACACTAAACCGTTGTGGAGTACCAGGTAATCCCTGGTTTAATGATTACTTAGTAAAATATAGGAAAAGACCAAAAAACGTTATTAATCAAGAACCAATTTGATCAACCATCCATACCCTATTATTCTGAGTAGTTATAGGGATAGCAGGCATGATTGGTGGTACCTCGCGCCCCCCCAATAATAAGAGCACGGCTTGAACCTGTGGAAGATAGCCATGAAGGATCATAACTGTTCTCTATCATGAAAGCCATTAAGAAAAACGAAACCTTGAAAGCCATTATGAAAAAGACATCTTGAGTTGATTTGTTAAAGAGAAGAAAAAAATATAAGCATCTTTTGCATGTCCGTGAAGTTGATATACAGCTTTCAAACAAGAAACAATTTTCAGGAGAAATCACATATACCAACTGTAACTGAGTAATGAATCTAAGTTGAACAAACATGTTCCACATAGCATAATTACTAATGGAACTACTACAAGCAAGAACCCACTTATAGACAACTATTTTGGTCACATTCTAATTAGAATTAAGGTTGGGATAGTACAGTACATATCAATATAGAATATTGACCACTGTTAATGTCTAAAAAGGGGGCAAATCCTTCCCAATAGATGCTTTTTTGGTAAACCAGCAACTGAGTCAGTTCATCGTGTTTTGGTGAGACTCTCTTGGGCAACATAGTTATGATCCTTAGCTTATGCAATGTTCGGTGTCTCCTGGCTTGTTGTAAGATCAGTTGATTAGCAGCTATGAACTTGAAAGGGTGCATAAGCTTGTACAATTATGATCAAAGGAATAAATTTGATCCTTTTTTGGGTTGGGGTGGGGGCTCTTTTGGAGGGCGAAAAGTAAGAAATTTGAGGGGTAAGAATTACCCTTGGCAAAGTCTTGGTTGCATAGTTTCAAATCCTTCTTTAATTTAGCAACTCTTGATTCCTTTTATTGGTACTGATTCTTCACCATCAAAATTTTTGGAAAAAAATATAACCAAGCCTTATTGTGGTTCCCCACAAAAAGAAGCATAGAAACTAGTTTTAATAGACATATTCAAGAAGTTCAAAGGAAACTTCAACGACATATAGTTATGGTTTCGTCAAACTAATCTAAGATCTTCTGGTTTTCTAAGTAGCTAAACAGTTAACTGATTGATCATAATTGTGATCCCCGTTGGAAAGACCTATTTGAATCCACAACAGCAAATACAAATGAAACAGATTCTTTTAATCATTAAAGTTAGTTAACCTGTTTGTGCACTATCTCACTATTGGCATCTAGTTGTAAAGATTCTACCTTGGATTTATAGCAATCTAGTATTGCAGAATGAAATCAAAAGATTCTACTAAGTAAAATTAACTATAGGCAGGTACTAAGTCATCAAGACTAAATTTTTGGCATATTGACTTCTGTGTAATAACTTTAAGAATGTACCTAGAATAACATCTCTCACTTATAAAAAAACAACTTGCAACTGATGCAAATCACTGCATCTAGGCCTCCATTTCACATACCTTGGGTTTTGGATGTGCTACCGATTTCTTACACCTTCTAGCTTTGATAATTTTTCATTAATTTCTCTCCTACAAGACTTCGTAAATTTACCAACAGCTGAAATTTTTTGCTCTGACGGTGATGTACTTGTGAAGTAGCATATGTAGCCACTTATCACATTTCAAGGTTGTCCTAACCATCTCTTGTCTTTACCTTCCATTTCTTCTTCCTCCCCTCATTTTTCCTTCATTTTCTTGAATTTACATGGACTTACTTAATATCTACCTTTCTAAATAGAATAGATCAAATATGAGTCAGCAATATCTCATCACCTCACATCTTATTTTGTCCTGTCTGCTCATCCCATTTCACCTAGTATGCCAAATGAAATCATAAGGCAATGCACATCCTCAGTTAAATTTGGGAAACCTGTTCCTTTAACATGGATTGTCATACCATCAAACCATCTTGATTGCTTGCAAATTTGAGGCCAATTGATCACATGATCCCAAAATCCAACCTAGTCAGGAAACAAAACCCTCATTTGATGCATATTTGGGAATCTAAGATAGTTCCATGTCACCATTCATCTTACGGTGAATAAAGAAAAAAAAAATGAAAGGGAAGGAAGGAAAAGACATGAAAGAAATGGAAACTCTCTTCCCATCTACCCTTTTGATTACATTTATATGAAAAAAAGGGGAAACTAAAATTAGACGATAACAATACCATTTTCATATTCCATAGCTGCAAACTAAGCTTAAAAAAAATATACACTTTCTTCCTTAGTCTTCGTAACAGATTATCTTAAAAACAAACAAGCAAAGAACAGCCTCCACCATTCCTTCTACTCCCCTCCAGCCAATTGGAATGATAAGGTTTAACACTTATATGTTCATAATAACATTGAAGTAATTTAAACATTAAACACATATAGCAATATTAATATTTCTAAGTTCAAATCACACCTAACCGATGCACATAGACAAGTATATTTGAATTTGGCCGGAAAACCATACCACACAGGCAGGGGCAACAATAACAACAAGAACACCACGAACAAGTAATGAAAAAGAAGTGGGACACAGACCTTTTCGGGTGGAACGGAGTCGTATACATAAACTTGACCCTGGAAAGACAGAGTAAGCTGGTCACCATTATCGGGGCCCTGGTTATCAGAAAGAACCCCGGGGTGATCAGAGGGCAAATCCCCTGCTTCTACTCCCTCAGCTTCTCCACCACCAACATTATCATCAACATCATGCTGATGATGATGAGCGTGATGAACATCATCATCGTCAACCATCCCATTCCCATTCATGATATGATGATGATGTGCATAATGTACATGATGATGCATTGGCTGTTGCACATCATTACCCATATGCATCCTGCCATTCTTCCCATGTATCCCATCCATCTTATCTGTACCTATATCTATACACTAGCCATAAAAAATTTTCAAACTCACAACTTTTCACTGCCAATCAATCTCTCAAATTTCCCAATTGCATTAAACCCAATTTCTTCTGTGACGAAAAATAAAGTTTAACCCTAACCCTAAATTCTGGCCGTTGTGTTGAAATCTGGGTTTTGAAAGAATCTAACGGCTGGGGGAAATGGAGAAGGAAATGAAGGCGCTTGTTTTCTAACTAGCAGCACTTTTGTTTTGGCGTTTGTTCAGTCCGTGTTTGGACGGAAGGAGACGAGGAGCCTGTGATCGGATGGCTTAGTTTGTTTTTTTTTTGGGTAAAAAATTGTTTGCTGACTCACTTAACAAAGCATATACTTATGCAAAACTATTGGAAGGTGGCAATTACAGGGGTTGGAGTCTTCTTTAATAATATTATTTCGGATTAAAGGGTTAAAAGTTCGGATTATTTTTATCTTCAAATTGGGAAAAAAGCTCATGCCCTGCAGGGTTTGTAAAATTTTTTTAATAAATGATAGATTCTTTCAACAATTATGAATATGGGACATAATTCCATATTGACCAAAAAAAGAGAGAAAAAAAGTCATTTAAATAAGGAATATAAATCTATTGTGGTTGGACTTTAGTAGGTAATAGATCATAGTTGAGATTGTTAAACTTGGGTGGACTTGAAAATAATTAAAATTAATATTTAATTACATGGTAATTAAAAATTATAATTTTTTAAAAATATAAATAAATTTTTTAATAAATAATTATAACTATTGAAAATAAACAGATAACTGTAATTATTGAAACATGCAAAAAAGTTATGTCTATTTTAAAAAAATTTATTTAAAATTAATTATGTATAACCAATAGAGACATAAATGTTAGAAACAAACAGAATTGTGTCCGTTGGAAAAACTATCTCTACTACATCATTTTCGGAAGGGAAAAAACACATAGAACAATAAAAAAGAAATTCTCTTCTTTTTTTTTGTTTTTTTTAGTTTCTTCCATATTGGCTTCTATATGATTTTACTACAAAATATCATATAGAATTCCAAATAGTCTTATCTTATATCAACGAATGCTCGATGGATTGACTTTGATAGTGCAGAATGTAGTCAATCACTAGGTTTCATTGTATCCCAAGGTTTATCGCTGTAACTTTTTTGCACACAATCAGTGAAGGCAAATAAAACCTTAAAGATAATGACACTAATATACACCTTGAATCCCTTTTGGTATTTTTCTAGTTTAAAGTTCCATCAATCTTAAGGTTTTATTTCGCTTCAACAATGGTTACCGCAAACGAAACACTAAGAGAATTGGCTTCTAACTTTGTGAAATTGTATCGGTTTGATGGTGGCAACTTTCTAAGATAGCAAAAGAAAATGCATTTCCTATTGTCAACATTGAAGTTTGTCTATGTCTTGACTACACCTAGACCAGATGAGGGCGAAGATAAAGCTATTGTTGCAACCAGAAAGAAATAGAAAATGGGATAATGTTGATTATGTGTGAAAAGGTCATATCTTGAATGGTTTGGTTAAAGGCTTATTTGACACATACTAGAATGAGGCTACTGCAAAAGAATTATAAGATAATTTGAAAGCTAGGTACATGATAGAAAATGTAACAAGTAAGAAATTTTCTTGTTAGTCGCTTTAATAATTATCAAATGGTCGATGGACGTTCTGTTATAGAACAGTTGTGAGAAATTGAAAGAATGCTTAATCGGTTTAAATAATATAAAATGAAAATAGATGAAACTATAGTTGTATCCTCTATTATAGACAAACTTCCTTCATCATAGAAAGACTTTAAAGGAAGTTTGAAACACAAAAAAGAAGAAATAACTCTTGAGGCTTTGGCAAATCATCTTCGAATTGAAGAGGAATACAAGAAACAACAGCAAGTTGCTATTTCTGGCAAGTTGTGGAGGAAAGACATATCACTAAACCAGCCAAAAAAAAGTTCAAACAGATTGCTAATGATCTGAAATTCAAAAGAAAGAACAAAAGCACATGCTTCCATTGTGAAAAATAAGGACATTTCAAAAAGAAATGTCGATTATTGAAGAAGAAAATTACTTTTTCAAATGGTGCTGCTTCTGAAAATTTTGTAGTTATGATTTTTGAAATCAATGTGGTTGAAGAAAATGATGATTGGTGATTTGATTCAGGAGCAATAAAACATGTGTACAATGACAAGAATCTGTTCAAGAATTTCACTTCAAGTGACCATGGAAATTTCCTATACATGGAAAATTCTTCTACAACAACCATTAAGGTAAAGGGATTGTTGAACTTGAGTTCACTTATGAAAAAACTCTAACTTTGAAAGAGGTTTACTATGTTCCAGAATTTAGGAAAAATTTAGTGTTTAGAAATCTATTGAATAAGTTTGGTTTCAAACTTATATTTGAGGTAGATAAATTCATTCTATCTAATGGGGAATATTTGTGGAGAAAGGTAATATGTGTGAGGGTATGTTCCAACTAAATATTATTAATCATAATAAGAATAAGACTATTGTTTCTGCTTATATAATTGAATCTTTTTATTTATGGCATTATAGATTAAGACTTTTAAATTATAGAATATTGGATGATATGTATAAAATGGACTTAATTCCATAATTTAATTAAAAAATTGATAAATGCAATACTTACATGCTAACCAAAATAACTAGAAATCATTTTCCTAAAGTCAAAAGAAATGCTAAATTACTTGAACTAATACATAGTGATATATGTGATATGCATAGTACACCTACATTACCTGGAAAGAAATATTGTCACAGTCATTGATAATTTCTCTAGATGTTGTTATGTATATTGTTATATTCTAAAGATGAAGTGCTTGATAAATTTAAAGTTTATAAAACAGAAATAGAATTACAATGTGAATCTTTTATCAAATGCTTAAGATCTGATAGAGGTAGAAAATATTATAGTCCATGTTATTTTGCCTCCACCAGATAATCCATCATATTGCAACACCTTATACACCATAACATAGTGGTGTGGCAAAAAGGAAAAATAAGGACTTGATCAAAATGTTAAATGCTATAATGTCATACTCAGGTATTGAAAAAGTTTTTAGAGAGAAGCTTTATTAACAGCTTGTCACATATTAAATATAGTTCTTAAAAAGAAAACTAAAATAAGCCCATATGAGCAATGGAAGAAAAAGAGACCAAACCTTAGCTATTTGAAGGTTTGTGGTTGTAGAGCTATAGTTAAAGTTCCTAAACCTAAAAGAAAGAAATTAGGTGAAAGAGGAATATAATACATATTCATAGGATATGCACAACATAGTAAAGCATATAGGTCATAGTAATTGAATCAAATGATTCAATTCCGGTCAACATTGTTATTGAATCAGGAGATGCAATATTTGATGAAAATAGATTCAAATTTGTTTCAACAAAACTACAACCACTATCAGTTCAATCAAATGTCTTTCCATTGGAACAAGATGCAAATAATGATGAATCTAATCCAGAATAAGGAAAAGTAAAAGGGTTAGAAAGCTAAAAGATTTTGATACAAACTTTTATATATTTTTTATGGAAAGAATAGGAGAAACTATTGACAATAAAATTCTTTATTGTTTTAATTTAGAATCGAAACTTATTACATATGACGAGGCAATGAAGTCTTATGATTTGGCATTTTGGAATGAAGTAATTAATGATGAGATGGACTTAATAATGGGAAACAATACTTGGATTTTGGTTGATCTTACACTAGGTTCAAAACCAATAGGTTGTAAATGGATTTTCAAAAATAAAATGAAGATGGATGGAACCGTAGATAATTTTAAAGTAAGATTAGTAGCTAAACATTATATGCAAAATAAGAAATTGACTACTTTGATATTTATGCTTCAATAGCCAGAATTGCTATAATTAGACTTCTAATTTCCCTTGCATCAATTTATAAGTTCGTAATTCACCAAATGGATGTCAAGATAGCATTTTTAAATGGTGAGTTAGAAGAAGAAGTCTATATGAAACAATTTGAAGGGTTTATTGTTCCAAGACACGAGCATAAGGTTTGTAAGCTTATCAAGTCATTGTATGAGCTTAAACAAGCATTAAAACGATTGCATAAAAAATTTGATAAAGTTGTTTTAGCCAATGGCTACAATATAAATGAATCCGATAAATGCATATATAGCAAATTCAAAAATGGTAAAGGTGTTATAATTTGCTTGTACGTGGATGACATACTAATTTTTTGCACAGTTGAAGAAGTTAAGGAAACAAAGAAGTTTTTGTCAAATAAATTTGCAATGAAAGATACATGTGTAGCAAATGTCCTCTCAAGAACTAAAATATTCCTAGATGAAAATAGCATAACTTTGTCACAATCACATTACATTGAAAAGGTACTTAAAATGTTTGATCTTAGTGATTATATACCAGTATCTACAACCATGGATCCTCAAATTAAATTAGTACCTAATGTTGGTAGGGCTATTGATCAATTACAATGTGCAAGAGTGGTTGGTTGCTTAATGTATGCAATGATGAGTACAAGGCTAGATATAACATTTGTTATTGGAAAGTTAAGTAGATATATAAGTAATCCAAGTACTTTACATTGGCAATCCATAAATCGAGTCCTATGGTATTTAAAGAAAACAATCTACTATGGTTTATGCTATTCGTATTGGAAGGATATTAGAATGGTAGTTGGATTACAAGTTTAGCAGATCATGCTTCCACAAGCGGATGGATCTTGATGCTTGGTCGGGGTGCCATTTCTTGGGGTCCAATAAACAAACAAGTATATTAGATTCTACCATGGCAACTGAATTTATTGCATTGGCTACTGCCACCAAAGAAGTTGAATGGCTAAGAAATTTATTTTATATTATACCTTTGTAGCCAAAATTAGTTTTACCAATTTCTATCCGTTGTGATAGTAAAGGAACTTTAGCAGGAGCATATAGCCAAGTGTATAATACAAAGTCTAGACATATTGGATTAAGGCATAGCTATGTATGACAATTAATTTCTCATTGGGTGATCACTATAACTTTTGTAACGTCTAATGAAGACTTAGCGGATCCTTTAACAAAAAGTCTTGTTAGAGATCTTGTAAATAAAACTTTAAAAAGGATGGGACTCAAGCTCATTGTAATACCCTCAGATTTTGTTAATGTTAACAATGTACAATGTTGGAATAGCTTATGTGTTGATGTGACCTTGATGTGTATGTTTATGAATTCAAGAAATGCCTATGTCCATAGAGAAATGGTCATGAAATGTAAGAGTATGTAAAAGCCAAAATGATGTTGTGCATACACTTGGCACATGAATAATATAGTACATATGCTTGGCACAAAATTGAGTATGATATGTATGTAAATTATACTACGTTAATTGATATACTATGTGATATAGAGCATGAATGAGAGATTGGCGTGCATGATGGACTTGTGTGTTGATTTAAGTGAAATATGAATAATTAAAGGTTGTAGAGGAGATTTGTAATGAGTTTAGGCTTCAAAAGAACCAATATCTAAGAATTTGGACTTAAGGATTTGATCCTAGTGCATGTAGGATCGAATTTGCGAAGTAAAAATTAGGGGTAAATATCACTGGCCCAAGATTGAGTATAAAACCTTTGTAGTCAATCCTAGGGTAGAAAATGAGATTTGGGATAACCAATCTAGTCCAGGATTAAGCACAAGCTCCCATAGTCGATCTTGAGGTCCCAGATCAGCAAAAATTGAGCTTAAAAGCCCCAAAACCAAAAAATCTTTCATTTTCTCTTATTTTTTCATTCTCTCATCCAATTTTTCTTAAACTTCACCTGACTCAAAACCTTCACACTTTAATGCTAAATCATGGATTTTCAAAGCTAAAGGAAGGGGATTTTACCTCATAAATTTTTTTTGAGGATTCTTACTTTTTTTCTTTAAAACAAAACTTTAGCTTTCAAGAGTGAAATTTTGAAGCACTTGGAGTTGTTTAGAGTGAATAGGGAGCTGCGAAATGCTTTTAGAGGTAAGATTGAGCATTTTGATTGATTGATCTTTAATTTGAATGGTTGATAACTTAGATTCAAATCGATGTAACTTCAGTAGAAAAATTGCTTTCTTGAGTTGGTTGAATATTTAGGGTAAGTAATAGCATAATCCTACTTTTAAGGTATGGATTAGCTCATTTTTGAATAATTTAAGCTTATTTGTTGATATGCTAAGGATTTGACTATTTTTGGAAAAGGTGAAAATAATCTAAAAGCTAGGATTTGGTTATAAAATGAAAAGTTATGGCATAAATAATAATGTTCATATATTGCTGATGGTAGATGATTATGAAAATGAGAATCAGGCTCAAGTACCAAGTTGCATTAATTAAAGCTAAGGCATACGTGAGTTACAAGTACCAATGTTGACAAAGACACCCTTAACTTGTCAAGCTGAATGAGGAAACTTTTATGCATAGGAGCATAATGACTAGGGTGCATATATGCTTCATAAATGATAAAGCATAATGTATGCTATGTATGGGCAATAAGCATGCTTAAAGGTAGAATTCCTAGACTAGAAAATATGTGAGAATTATGTGATATGCCTAGAAGGATTATGCCTAGCCTAATGATGTTGATGTTGATATGAGCTAATGTAATGGAAATAATGACCCTATGTTGAATGTCTATATGGTCAACATGTCTAGAAATGTTATGTCTAAACTAGTTAATGTTTTAAGACTTACATGATATGCCTAGAAGGAATATACGTAAGCTAAGTGATTAATATGCTCATGAATATTTTCTGAATATGAGAATTGCGGCTTGATGACAAATAGTTGACTATGTATGATGACAAGCGTGATGATTAATGAGTTATGTGGAATAATATGTTCTGTCTGTGGATGGTTTCAAATGATGTTATGATGTTGATTATGCATGTTCTGTCCATGGAGGAATTCCAGATGATGGATATTATAAGGTTGAGTATGTCCATATCCTTGTGACTATGTATGTTCCGTTGACAGGGATGGTGGTAAGCAAGGTAGTGGTTTTGTCCTGCCTATGATTCCCACCTATTGTGTGATGATGAATATGTTCCTGCCTCAGGGACGGTGGTAAATAGTGATAGTGGTTGAAAATCTTGCTTGTGATTCCTGCTTATTGTGTACGATGCCATCCGTCGGAAGATTACTTCGAATGATGATTGTGATGCCACCTGTGGAGAATACTCCAGGTGATGTCATCCATTAAGATATTGCCTTAGACAAGCATTATGATGCCATCTATGAAGAGATTGCTTTGGATGATGACTTTGATATCTCGCCAGTTGCTTTGGTATTGGGTGCGATTTACTTTTCCGTCGACTGGCCACAGTGCGTGATTTGTTAATGTCAGGGGAGGACCACTCTATGATATGCTATGATGATTAAATAGTGGCATGCCTTAGGTTTTGAAATGTGAAATATGTTATATGATGTCATGATATGATGATTAATGTAAAGGCTTGAGGTAAGAGCCATATGTAATTGATTTGTGATTATGATATCTTGCATGCTTGAGGAGCTATAATTTAGCATCAAGGTGAGCACTTTAAGGTGTGTATGTTGAACCACGTATGTAGACGACCATATGGTGGGCTAGTTCATACGATAAATTAAACTATTAAAAGGTTGTGTTGATAACAATATTGAATGAGTAAGGTGACGATGATTATAGCAACTTATGTTCGACAGGTGATGATTGACTTGTTTTACATGTATATGTATTATGATGTATAAGATGCATTCATGATAAAGGACATATGTAGCAACTATCCTTACATATTTACAACTATTTGATGCTCCCATGCACTGAGTACTAGTGTGACTCACCCATTTTAGTTGTATTATGTAGATAAATAAACAAGAAGGATTGGTTGCTAGCATTCTCATTTAGATAGACACATGATTTTGACAAGGTGTATGTTATTCGTTGACAATGAATCTTCGCTGTGTCACAGTTTGAGTCATAGTTATATACATTTCTGCAATGTAGACAAAATATGTCCTAAAGGAAATATGATGGCATGAAGTGCCTTTATGTTATGTAATGAGATGTTTAATGACTTGGTAAATTAGCCAATGTATGGCTATGTGTATGTTGTGTTTAAGTCTTGAACATTATTACGAGCCGTGGGGCTAATGTTGAATGCTAAGAGGTTTAACTTTAATGACATGACGTTGGCCATAAGGCCTTATGATTATGATTTATGTGTTTATCAGGACTTAGCAATGAATGTTTTCTTGCGTCTCATAGGCTTGCTTGCCAGGCTCATGCTTGCTTGTCACAAACCCATGAATTTGGGTCGTGACAGACTTGGTATCAGAATGAACTTAGGTTATATAGAGTCCTAGGTCAATCTATGTTAGTCAATGGAGTAAATAAGGACGAATGTAGAGTCTTGTTTATACTTTATGATTGTAGCACAATTCATGAGCTAGAGGCTATATGACTCCCAAAGTCAGTAATAAGGTCACCCATGATTTTGAGATATGAATATTGAATATGATTTTGCTTTGTCTAGGTAAAAATGCCACTTAAGATGAGAGCTACCTCAAGGGTTACAGCAAAACATGATGATCTCGATGACTACGATTAGGCCATAGACATCCTCATTAAGGAGCCATGGAAGAGCTAGAGCCATGAGATACACTCGAAATGTTGAGCCCAACTATGAACCTACTAGTGATGATTATGAGGAAGCTAGATATGATCACTTGATGGGAAGAATTGTCACTCTAGAAGATTTTGCACGAGGTTGTAAAGTTTGGTACATGAGTTTGCTAAGTTCTGTAGTAGGAACAAAGCATAGTTAGAGGAATGGATAGATTCTAGTTTAGAGGACTCGAACTATGTGCCAGTAACAGAACATGGTAGTGGGGCAATTATGGTAACGTTTGATGATTTTATGAAACTTAAACCCTCTATGTTTATCGACTTAGATGCCAAAAAGGTTCTTTATAGATTCTTAGAGGACGTGGAATGTATATGCATAGAGTTGGGATGTTCCAGCTAGAGATCTGTTGAATTAGTGGGCTTTCGATTGAAAAACGTAGCTTAAATATGGTTAGTAACTCTTAAGAAAGGGAGAACACCTCCACTGACATGGGATGAATTTGTCCAAGCATTTTTGGACCATTTCCTACTTGACAGCGTGAGAAAAGCTAAGGCATAGGAATTTAAAATGTTATTTTAGACCCTAGAGATGTCGATGATGGAGTATGACATCCGATTCATACAGTTGTCTTGTTATGCACAATACTTGGTCTTGACAAAAGAAAAGAGGATCAAGAGGCTTGTGAGAGGCTTGATAAAGCCATTATTCAAAGTTATTGTCGCTAAGAGGTTTGCTACCTACTCTGTAGTGGTTCATGCGGCTAGATTGATTGAGAGTTATAGAATAGGGACTATGATGGAAAGGAATAGAGCTCGAAAAGCTACAATGGATAGTCGACGAGGCCAAAGGGATTCTAGTGAGACACAAAGTCCAATTTCTATGGGTCGTTGGGTTCAAGAGGGAACTACTTCGATGCTCAGACCACTACAAAATAGTGATTCTTTTAGCCTTCTTGGAAGGCGAGAGCTATTCAGTGGTGTATCGAATCTAGTGCTAGTATGAGCCCTGTAAGCCAATCTTTGATTGTATGGGAATTACGCTTTGAGGTATTCATGTATGACATTTTATTAATTTATAATAATTATGAGGTGGTTCTTTATCCATAAGTTTGTGATTTAATTACTTTTTACACTTAAGGAGATAAAGCCCATGGAACTATATATGCCTTGCAAAGGAATTGAATTAGGATACAATTATGAGATCCTTATGCATCAAAGCATTGTTCCTAAAAGTTCCTGATCATTGTATTATTGAGATGGGGCATCAATAGTGCCCAAAGATTAGCATATGCTATGTTCCTTACTGGTGAAGAAAGCAACCGGTTGTTGATTTTGCATACGCAAGTATACGTATCGAATAAGTAATATAGTGATGGAGTAGAGTATCATTCCCATGGAGATTTATTTCTAAAGTTTTATGTAACACCTCGTATTCTCGAATAAGAGTTAATAAGACCCAATTGATAAGACAAAGGGTTAATTGATGAAAATCTAAGTGCCAA